TGTAAATATATAATATCTTTTATACATCTATTTATAAATTCATCCTCTTTTTAACTATTGTGTTTTAATAGTTTCCTTTGCTTTAGGAATTTAATACTTTGGCTTAGCGGGGTGGTCAATATTTATAAGAGAATTTTTAAATAGCAACTGGAATCTTTATGAAAAACAACAGAGACAAAATTGTTGTTTCAAAGATCAAATTTACACGACTTTATTGCTAATTAGTTGCACTTATTTTTTGGTGAGAGAGGGAGAGAATGGCTTGATAAATGGAAATTACATTTGTAGTCTGAAGATTTGATTTTGAATTTTGTTGGCTCTTGTTCCTATTGTATTGGAGCCCAAGTTTTCTTAGACTTCAGTGTTATTCTACTTTGTTTGATTTTAATCTACTTTTTTTTTAATTTTAAAGAGAGGAAAAAAAACAATAAAAATGATACAGAATTTCAAAATAAGATGACTAGGAAATTAACCATGGTTATTATATTGCATATTGTTATTTTCAACATAGTTGCCCAGATTACAAGATATAGGCATGCAAAGTTGATTAAACAATATAAGCACTACCTGTTCCTTTCAGTGAACTAATAGAAATTAGTAGTACAATTATCTTAGGTATCTTGTGTATATATATATATATATTTTTTTCCCTTCCTTCTTTTCTCCTTTCCCCCATCCCAGCTGTTCTTTCCTTTTGAGCAGTTTCTTTCCCTTTTACAATATCTGTTGTATCTTTTGGATCTCATTTACTCTTTCAGTTTCTTACACTAGGTAGACAATATGATGTTTACACATGTGAGTCTGGTTTATTTCACTTATGAGTATGGTCTCTAGTTGCATCCATTTACCTATAAAAGCCTCAAATTTATCTTTCTTTATAGCTGAGTAATATAATACTCCAGTGTATAAAAATATTACAACTTTTTTACCCATTCCTCAGCTGATGGGCATTTGGGTTATTTCCAAGATTTAGCTATGACAAATTGTGTTGCTATAAACATGGGTGCACATATATCACTGTGATATGATGTTTTCAACTGTTCTGGAAAAATACCTACAAGGGAAATAGCTGTGTTGGATGGAACCTCTAATCCTAGTTTTTGAGGAATCTCCACAATAATTTCCACAGTGGCCGTAACAGTCTACATTCACACCAACACTGGAAAAAGTTCCTTTTTCCCCACAGCCCTGTCAGCATTAGTTACAGTTGATTTCTTAATGATAGTCATTCTTTCTGGAGTGAGATGGAATATCAGCATTCTTTTAATTTGCATTTCTCAAATGACCAATGATGTTGAACATTTTTCCATATATTTATTTGCTGTTTGTATTTCTTCATCTGAGAAATGTGTATTCATTCATTTCAGATGCCCATTTTTGGATTGGGTCTTTGAATTTTGGAGGCCTAATTTTTAAAAATTCTTTGTATGTTCTAGCTAGAAGTCCTTTGTCTGAGGGACAGTTGGCTAAAATTTTTTCCCAATTCGTGGTTTTCTGTTGGTGATTCCTTTTGGTGTGCAAAAACTTTTTAATAAGATGAGATCCCAGTTGTTAATTCTTCAAAATGTTTCCAATGCAGTTTGGTTTTTTTGTTCACGAACTCTCTGCCTACCCCTATGTCTTCAGGATTTCTACCTACTTTCTTTTCCAGTAGATTTAGTGTTTCTGTTTTGATATTTAGACCTTTAATCCATTTTGACTTTAGTTTGGTGGATGGTGATAGACATGTGTCTAGTTTTAGTCTTTGGCATGTGGAAAGCCAGTTTTCCAGCACCGTTTATTCAAGAGGCTATCTTTCTTCCAGTGAACATGTTTGGCCTCTTTGTTAAAGATAAAGTGGCTGAGTGTGTTTGTAGTTATGTCTGCATCCTCTATTCTGTTCCATTTATCATGAGGTCTGCTTTCTGGGCCAGTACCATGCTGATTTTAACACAGTAGCTTTGCGGTATAATTTCAACTCAGGGATTGTGATGCCTCCTTCCTTTCCTTTGTTGCCCAGGATTGCCTTTGCTATTCTAGGTCTCTTCTGGTTCCAGGTGAATTTTAGGAATGTTTTCTCTAGTTCTGTGAGGTCTGCTAATTGTATTTTAATTGAGATTGAATTAAATCTGTACAACAGTTTTGGGGGTACAGCCATTTTCACAGTGTTGGTTCTTCCTATCCATGATCAAGGGATATCTTTTATTTTCTGAAATCTTCTTCTATTTCTTTTTTCAGAGTACTGTAATTTTCACTGTGTAGACCTTTTACTTCCTTTGTTAGATTGATTCCTAAAGATTTCATTTTTTTGGATGTTATTGTGAAGGGTGTTGTTTCCCTAATTTCTCTCTCAGTGAGTTTGTTGTTTGTGTACAGGAATGCTATTGATTTTTTGAGTGTTGACTTTGTATCCAGCTATGTTACAGAATTTGGTTCTTAACTCTAGGAGTCTTTTGGTGGAGTTTTTGGGGTCTTCTTTGTGGAGTATCATGTTCTGAAAATAATGATAATTTAACTTTTTCCTTTCTTATCCTTATGCCTTTCTCTTGTCTAATTGCTCTGGCTAATGTTTCCAGAACTATATTGAATGGAAGTGGTGATAGCGGACATCCTTGTCTTATTCCTGATTTTAGATTGAAAGCTTCCAGTTTTTGCCCATTTAGTATGATGTTAGCTGTTGGTTTGTCATAGATAGGTTTTATCAGATTGAGGTAAAGACCATCTATTCCAATTTGCTCGTCATCCTCTTAGTCTCCAAGTTATCTCTTATAATTCTGAAAAAAACCTCACAAAGGAAACATTGGGGGGATTTATTTATCTTTCCTCAAATCCTTGTTGACTTCATTACACTCTAAAACCTGTAAACAAGCCAGGCGTGGTGGCACATGCCTGTAATGCCAGGACTCAGGAGGCTGATGCAGGAGGATCATTGCAAGTTCGAGACCAGCCTGGGCTACAAAGTGAGCTCAAGGCCAGTCTGAACTGCATAGGGAGACCCTGTCTCAAAAACACCAAAACAAATAAAAATAAAAATAAAACTTGTAAACAGATTTTAATTTTGCCTCTCTCTTCTAGTTATTCTTCAACTAATGGTCAGTCTGATGTAAGCTTGCTTACCATAGTTGGAAGCAACATTTTGGGCCTCAATACTCTTGAGGGTAATATAGTTCACATAGAAGAACTTTTAAATTAGACATTTATAGTATAAAGATTCTGATGCTATTCTTAGCAATTATGTGGCCAGGGAAAACATATTTAGCTTCTCTGAATTTGTGTTTTTCACATATAAATACTAGAAGTAATAATCTTCACTTCACAGTTGTTATGGTCTGTACCTAGATGTCTCTTCAAAGCCTCATGTGCTCATAGATGGGGCTTTTTAGAGCTGGCTGGATCTAGGTGTGTGAATATCAATTAAGGATATATGGTACTAAATTAGTGCACTGATTGGTTTGCATAGTCCTGGGTGTGGCTGATAAGGCCTGTTCTAGGTGTGAGTGTCACCACCCAAAAGGCTTGCAGCCTGCATAGGATAAAGCACAAGGGAGGCTTGTTTTAGTGCTTTCTCCTGCTGCCTTCTTGCCTGTCCCGCCAAGGACTGTTTCTCTTCTGCCATTCTTCCTTGCTGTGCTCCCCTGCCTTGGAGTCAGGGGACTATGGGTGAAACCTCTACGAACTGTGAGCTGAAATAAACCTTTTGTCTAATGCGTGGTGTTGGGTATTTTGTCTCAGCAATTAGAAAAGTAACTAAAATGACTGGGTTATTTGTTTGAAGGTTAAATGAGGATTAAACAAATAATATACATAGACATTTAGCTTAATATCTAAAACATTGCAAATATTTATAGATGGATACTTTTTTCCTTCCCTTATTTCTATGCTTGGATGAGTGTCACCTAAAAGTTCAAGGCTTAGTCCCTAGGATGGCACACTTAGGAAGTGGTGTGAACTTTAGGAGGTTGGACCTAATGTATGGTCCTTAGACCAAAGGGGATTGTGGGACCTGGCTAGTTTCTGTCTCCCTTTGCTTCTTGGGTCATGGGGGGCAGCAATTTGCTTCCGTATGCGCTCCCACTGTGATGTGCTCCCTGGTCAAAGGCTCAAAGCAATGTTCTGACCCACCTTCCCCTGATCTTGGACTGGAAACTCAGAACTGTGAGCCAAAGTAATACTTTTCTCTTTATCGGTATCTTGTTATAGTAATGGAAAGCAGACAAGCACAAGCATTAAGGCAATAGTTAATATTTCATAAATCAAGACTGTGCAAAATAATACAGTGTGGTGATTTTTTTTTTTCCAGGTACCGGGAATCGAACTCACGACCTTGCACTTGCCAGGCAGGCGCTGTGCTGCTCAGCTAAAGCCCCAGCCCCACAATGTGGTGATTTATGTAAAACTCACAGACTATAATGCACTAGAGAAATAACAAAGATAATATTTCTGAAGCATATTTATTAGTTTGATGTGCTAGGCATTGTATTAGATGCTTATGTGTATTGTATCACTCCATATTTATAATAACCAAATTAAGTTAGAACTTTTATTGTGCTTAGTGTATAAATGAGGCTAGGAGAGATTACGTTACTTTTGTCAAGATTAGTGAGAAGCCCATTTTTAAATCCAACTCTGTCCCATTCCATAGCTACAGTTATCAATTTTCCTTCTGTCTAGTATCACAGAACAATTTTTCCTTTTCCTACTTAAGGAAAAATCTCAGTTTTGTAGACTTTTCTGCAGACTCTAGAATCATGTAGCTACTCAGTATATATTTACTGACTAACTGACATTCACACCAATAAAATCTGCTGACATAGTAGTAATGGAGTGACTAACAATACAAAGCCAGGTCCTCTTTAACTTCCAACCACAGAAATGAAAAATAATCAGGATGGGTTAGTACAAATTTAGAGTGACAAGTTCAGAATTTACCCATAACCAGAAGTTTTGACCCATGATCCAGAAACCAGCCCTCATTGCCATCTGTGGCTTGGGACTACGGTGCATTTTTTCCGGGTACTTACATGTGAGTCATCTTACTCAGATTGTAGAAGGAATGTGATTCCAGCCGCTGCAGAGTTGCATCTATAGACAAGTAGCTGAATGTCAGAAAAATACAAGACAAAAGAGAAAGTTAGTAAGGTTGTGAACACCAAATGTTACTTTTTATGCAACTTCTTTGTCAGGGGCTTCCTAGATCATGGAACATACGCAGGCTGCCTACATTCTAGCTAATTATGTGAAAAACTAATTACTACTTTTTTAATAGATCCCATGATGGGTGAACTTTCCCAGTACTTTATGTCTTATTCATCCTAATGTCTCAGTGGTCATTTCCATTACAAGCTTTCTTCCAACTTCCTGGTAAGCTTCAAGTTCCATAGTATATTCTCATCATATCACAAAATTTTCCTTTCAGTAACGACCACAATGCATCCCTCCAGTGATTTGGATATTTGATATATGTTATCTCATTAGATTAAATTCTGTGAGCTCAAGACTTGTGTGTGCTTTTGACCAGTGAATCCTGAGTGATTTGCATAGTTCTTGGTATACAGTAGATGCTTAATAAATGTGTTAAGTGAACAAATGAATGAATGGAGGAATGAATAAATGCATTACTCAAAAATAAAAGCATTAGAACATAACATTAAAATGATTAAAAAGCATTTTAAAGAGAGCATTTAATCACAGAGAATTAGAAGTAACATTTTTAAAGGATGAAGAAAAACATCAAACTTTTCTAGCAGAACTTTCCACAGAGTCATGACCACATAGTCTCTCATGACCTCTCTTCTAGACTTTGAATAAGGTAAAAAAATTTAAGATTCATCTTGGATTTTATAAACAAAAGAGAACTCAAATCAAAGTTTTAAATGCTTAAAGAAAAACACCTACACAGAGCTTGTCAGGAATCAATAAGGAAAAATATTTTAAATAGTTTACTCAAATTCCATCTTATAGGGCCAGGTTTATAGCTCAGTGGCACAGAGCCTGCCTGGCAAGCACAAGGTCATGAGTTCAATTCCCGGTACCGAAAAAAAAAAATCAAATTCCATTTTGTAATAAGAATGACTAATGCAGACAAATTCAGTGACCATTTTATATTGAGAGCCATTTCAATGACATTTGAGAAAGTTAAAGAGTAACAGACGATGTCCAGCTCCAGTCCTAGCAGAGATTCTCAAGCCTGGACACACAATTGAACTACCTAGGGGGCTTTTAAAACATACAGATGTTCAAGATCTGGTCCAAGATAATTAAATCAGATCAAGCACTTGTACTTTTCAAAAGCTTCCTAAGTGATTATAATGTACAGGAAAGGTTGCGAACCACTTTGAATTGAATCTATTAGTAAAATATTTCCATTAACACAATGTTTATAAGAGGGGCATTAATTGTTTCATATTGAATTTTTAAAATCATGTTTATTGTGAGTATTATGATGGCCCTGTGCTTTGATTTTGAATTACCTATTCTTGAAGCAATTGCCTTTTGATTTATCAGGTCTCCCAACTCTTTACCTTGTCTACAGCATTATATAAATGGTTTTGTTCCAGATATTATATCTCTATCATAGAGGGAACAATTCACCACATTTAAAATGAAGTGGTTAACTTATTGTTGAATGGCTGCAGAGGTCGGATCATGGGTGCAAGTAAGTCACCCAGAAGGCAAAGGTCACTTTGAAGGCTGCCCGTTTACTTCCCTAGGTTTGCCTCAGGGCCATGGCTCCAAGTTCTCTACTGAAGTTCTTAGGTAAGTTCTTAGGTTTCTAGATTCTCAAGAATCTAGAAAGATAGTTATTCAGTCCACATCACGGGACTAAAATTTCTTGTTTCTCCAAATTAAGGTCACTGCCTTTCAGGGCTGTTAAAACATAGTCATGGAGGGGGCTGGGGATTCAGCTCAGCAGCACAGCACCTGCCTGGCAAGCGCAAGGTCATGAGTTCAATTCCTGGTACTGGAAAAAAACCAAAAAAAACAAAAAACATAGTCGTGGAGACATGTAGAGACCATTTACTCAGTGGGATAAAGTACTGACATCCTGCTTAGTTTATCCCATTTTTATAACTGGAAAAAAATCAGATAGTGTCTCATTTCAAATCTCTTATCATGTAAATCTTATGTAATTACTATAGTGACTACATCATTTATTGTCCAAAATAAGATATTTTATATTAATATTTATGCTAGAATTAACAGGTGAGAATTTGCACTGTATCAAATGTACCTAGGATCAGCCTGAAAATCTCTCCTTCTGCCCTGAGATATACCATATCTTTATTGTTTATGTACATGTGTTTGTTTTCATTCAACAAATATCCTGTTGATCATTTACTGTATACCAGATGTGTGGCTGGAAATTGGTAAAACAAACTTTTCCCCAGCTTCAAGGAATTCCTGCTAGTGGGGGACACAGGCAAGTAAGTGGGGTTAATATAGCAGGTGTTAATTGCTCTAAAGGGTATAGAAACGACACTCAGAGAATGCACCATTGTCCCCCTTGAAGCCTCAATGGGGCCTTCAAATATTCCTGGGTGTCCTGTATATCTCAGTCAGCCCTTCTCTTACTGCCCATACTTTTGTCTTCAAACCTTATCCTCAAATTTCAAACTGCCAGCTCTAGCTTCAATGTCTTAAGAATTTGTAGAAAAGATTTAAATCTTGAAATAGGAGTGCCTTGAATTCACCACCAATATCATCTTAAGTTACTTGCATCTGTCCTGTCTTTTACTGTAACTTTCTTACTATGATACAAAAAGTGACGATGTTCCTACAGAAGGTCAAGCCTTCTGTTTGGAGTCGATCCACTCTTACCTACACAAGGACCATAGGCTCTTAACATTGTTCTTTTTCCACTCTTAGGTTCTCTCTTTCTGTGCTAGTACCCTTCTCTGGTTCCAGTTACATCCACCTGTTTATGACTCACAAGCCTTTATCTTTTCTCAGGTATCTCCTCTGAGTACTCCATATACACAAATTTTCAATATTCCTTACTCTTATTTTTCTTTTTCCAATATACAGTATTCCTTCCTAAATAGGCATATAATTTACTTGCTTATTGTGTTTTTGATTCATGGCCTGTTTCCTCCCATTTGAATATAACCTCTGTGGGAACATGGAGCTTTTTCCATTTGTTCCCTGTGGGACCCTTAGCTCTTTGAAGAGTGATTGAGCCGTGGTAGAGGGGATATATTTATTTAATGAATAAAAATTATGTCTATGTCATGATGTCCACTGAATATATCTGTACCTCAAAGGGCATACACTCCAAACTGAATTCTTAAGTTACCCCATGCCCCTCCACAGCAAAAGCACAAAAACTTCCCCCTGTATCTCATCGAATGTATTCATCAAAGATACAGATGTCATAATCAGAAATTTGGATGCAATTCTTCCTCGTCTCTCTAAGTCCAAATCAATTAATTTTAAGTCTGTAAATTCTCCCTTAGTTGTTTATACAATCTCTGTATTTTTTTCTTTATTCCACTCAGCCTCCGTTATTCAATTTGGTGTCTCCCTTGGGTGCCGCATCAGCCTCTGCCCTGGCTTCCTGTCTGCCGCCTTGTCTCTGCACTGCGGGCCCCTCTCCAAAGCACAGCGCAGGGCCCGCGTCTGAAACGAAAACGCGATCATTCAGTGGCAGGGTCCTTCCGGACCTTCTTCACGTGATTCACAAGACTCTGCTCTTGTCTACCTGCCAGTTGTTTGCTTGTTTTTGTGGTACTGGGGATTGCCACTAGGGCCTGTGCATACTAGGCCAGTGCTCTGGTGCTGAGCTACAACCCGAGACTTTTGTTTTTGAGTCAAGGTCTGGATAAGTTGCCCAAACTGCCCTTCAATTTCTAACTCTCCTGACCCTGCCCCCATGGTAGCTGGGATTACAGGTCTATGCCACCACACCTGACTTTCTTTTTATAATTTCTTCCTTCCTTCTCCCCTTTCTTCATCCCTTCCTTCCTCCCTTCTGCCTCTTTCTCAGCCTAAACTACAGTCCCAACAAATTTAGTCCAGTTCCTCAGAACTTCAGATTTTTTTCCTCCTGTTTGGAACTATTATTCCCTCATGGTTTTTGCTAGATAATGCAGATCACAGGTTCAGCACCGTTTCTTTCTGGAAGCCTTCTGCAGCCTTCTCCCCGGCTCCTATCCAGGTAATGGGTAATTCAGCCTCTCTTAGGAGTATCTATTATGTTCAGTAACCGACCCCATCACGGCAATCCTGGCTCCCTTAGGAGGGAACGGAGGCTCTCTATCATCCATTGTTATATTTGGAGCATCTTACAAAGTGGTAGGCACCAAGCAGGGGTCAATAAATATTTGTTTCTTTTTTTTCCAAGCAATACTTATTGAATGAAGGAATAGCTAAGCTCTTGGGACATCCACCTGGAGACAAGTGGACAGTTGCTTAAGAGAGGTGAGAGAAAACAAAGCGTTAAAAGGAATTTGAGGTTTTTAGGGTTCAAGATGCTGAACGGTAGGGCAATTAACATGAGGAGCACAGAAGGAACAGTCTGGGCCAACACTATGTGTTTATTTGGGATAAACTGAACTGCAAATGCTCAAGGGACATCAAGTGTTGATATTTGGAAGTTTTCGATGAAGGCTTGAGTTGTCAGGGTGAATCAGGCCTAGAGATGTTTGCTTAGGAATTGGTCGTACTCGGTAAAAGTGAGGACAAAGGAATGGAGGCGCTGACACAAGGAGAGTGGAGTATGTAGGAAACAGGACAAAATACACAGAGGGAGAACTGATACTTAAGGAACTGATATTTAAGGAACTGGCAAAAAAAAAAAGAGAAGTCAGGAACAGAAGACTGGGGAAGAGTTGGGGTGAGAAATGTCAGAGAAACCAAAAAAAGCAAGAATTTGAAAGAAGAAGCACTGGATAACAACATCAAAGACTGCAGGAAAGTCCAATGAGCACGGCCTCTCAGCGCTGCTGGCATTTTGTACTGGTTCTCTATTGGGGGGCCACCCGGTACCCTGCAGGATGCTTGACAGCACCCGTCTCTTCTACCCACTAGACGCCAGTAACGGTTCCTTCTCCAGTTCTGACAAGCAAAAATGTCAAATGTCAGAACTGTCTCGGAGTAAGAACCACTAAAGTGGCAAAATAAACAGTAAATGGCTATGAAATGAATAAACTTAGCCAGGAATTATACGGGTTGCTCCTGGTGGTATTATTTGCTATGTGAGAATTACCTGGGCTGTATGTCAGAATTAATGAAATGAAATAAAGGCCTATTTCATTTCTTAGACACACTATGTGTCAGCTTAACATGGAAGTTCTTGATCTCCTAAATCTGGGTATACAGCAATTCAGTTTTCAAGGCTTACAATTACTTTTAATTCTTTTCATTTCTTTTCTTTTTTTAATGTATAAAAGTCTGAAACCATTGGCTACATTTTGACCAAAGGTGAGTGTTGAGAAATGAGTCAATTGGCAACTAGGACAGGTAGATCGGAGAGCAGCACATACATCTGTTCATGGGAGAAAGGCCATTCTGCCATGTTACAAATACATTAATATAAACCAAGAATGATGAATTCAGGACCAAATCAATTTAAATTTGCTGTAGTTCTTTTTTAAATCTATGAATTAGTAAGTACAGATGAAGCAACATTAGACAAATACCAAGTACATACGATTTTCCAATACATTTAAATATAAATGTCACTAACATTTGCAAGAAGCATAGTAAATATTTTTCTTATCAGAACACATTTCAGAAAATAGCATAACTGCAAACTTCTCATTATACTTAAAAATGACTTACATCCTGGAAATATTGGGCAGATTTGAAAATGCACGACTGGGGATGGCTTTCAGGTGTGTCTCTATGAGCTTCCTAGGAAAATAACAGTGACACAGTTAGAGTTTCCATCACTGGTCTTTTCTAATAACTTACCTTAATTATAAAAGACACGTAAGTGGATGCAATGTAGTCCTTTCATTATACATGGTCAACAAAAATAATACTCAATGAAAAACTGTCATTCATCCTGTGATGGCATGGATTTGTAGATGAAGGCTTTGATCGGAAGGTAAGAAAAGTCAAGAAGGACTTCAGCTTGAGTAGTATCTAAAGGGGACATACTCGGTCTGGCCCACCCACAAAAGCAGGAGGCCTTCTTTCAAAGATTAGTTGAGGTGGACCAGGGTCCAGTTGATCATTATCTCAGTCCTGACTTCCTAGCTCTGGACAAATCCTCATGACTTTGGGATCAATTTGGTTCCCATAAAATGATTGTCTTTGTGGTGGCTTCAGTCATGCAAGGCCTTGCTATTCATGGGACCCAGGTGATTACTGGTTTAGGACAATGGCTGGAGACTTCAAACCATTGCTCCAGGGAGAGGTTCTGAAACTGGACATTCACTGAATGTCCCTGTGAATCTTAGAAATCTCTTTAGTTAGTCTTATCTTGGTGTCCTCCATCTTGAAGAGGGATGAAACAGCTTAGGTGAGTTTAAGGCTAATAGACTTTGTCCTGACATATTTTAGATAGAGACTCCCTATATGACTAATATATTTATATGTAGAGCTGCAAAGAATTTGACCCAGAGTTTTACAAAGTGAAAAGCTTTGTTCTGATTTTAGCTACCTTTTGGGCCTTTGTAGGCCTGAGTAAAGAGTCATGGTTTTTAGCAAAAACCATTTTAAAGTTCCTACCTCAGAATAAAACACAAATTATGCTTTTGATGAGTAATAGGGTGAGGGCCTGGGATTGAGTTTGTCCTTTTTCCCTATGGTGGTCTCTGACTACATCAAAACACACAACTTTTCCTCCCAACAATAAGTATTGAGAGTGAGATTCAGATGCAGAAAACAAATCTTCATCTATGGGGTAATAGTAAACTACTATGCCTAACATCACATTGCATTTGTTATCTGAAGTGTACACAATACATTCCTAAGTATATTACGACTTTTGGACTCATGTCATGCACTTTTCACTAAAAATATCTTGGAATGCTCTCAAGAATATACATTAAGTACCAGTTAAGAGGAATTAAACACGTTTATTTTAAATATTAGAAATTGAGATATTTCAGTGTCACATTTTCCCAAGCAAAGATCTCTTCAACCATTACTAAGATATCATCTATTTGCTGCAGTTTAGAAATAGCTGATTGTTAAAGAGACAAGTTTTCCTGGCTTTTTCTTCAGTCTACCTTTTTGGGTGCAGCTTCAGAAGGCCGAGACTGATTTCCTTATCAAGTAAGGGAGCCTTCGTGCAGTCCCCTGTGCCTCTTCACTGAGTGTTCCTTTCCTGAGTTCCCCTCTTCATGTGGTGACTCTTTGAATAGAATCCTTTGGAGGAAATGTGGTCTATTATCCTAACTCACTTTGCAAAAAGACAGTGCCTTGGAATTACTAATCATCTTTTCTCTTGTCTGTTTTTGTCATTTAACTATTGATAGACATCACCCACTTAGTACACATCTTGTTTATAGACAGTATACTAACATTGTGCGTTTTCCCATCTAGGCTACAGGGCTTTTCCTGCATGACCTATTTCCTTGATCTATGCTTTCTATGGACTGTTCATTTTTGCAGTGCTCAAAATGCATCAGTAATTTGCCTAATCAAAACATCGGCAGGCCAGGTTACTTTATAAAAGGATCTATGAATTTATGTATATGGGAGGGAGACAGGAAGAAGACAAGAGTATATTATCAACTCTTTGCAATCCCCAGGGTTTCACCACAAAGCCCGAAGTTGTTCCAACGTAATTTTAGACATTCAAGTCTCATAACTACCTGTCTTCTCCTGGAGATCTTCCACTCACATTCTCTTAAGTGGGTTGACAGAGAAAAATAAAAGACAGATAATAGGAAGTAAGGAGAGATGTTTCTCAGATCAAAAGGGGATTAAGAGATGGAGTGAGACTGAGGGAGGGCAGGGAAAGAGGATGAAAAAAGGACTTCAAGCGCATTATGCACATGAACCAGCTCCATACAGGGCATGTGAACATTATGTCCTGCAAAACAGGTACTAATAAAAATGAAAAAAAATTGTATGAACCCAGATTCAGGATTCTGAAGTTTAAAAAAATATGAGAAGAGCAAGTCATTCCACTAAAACCTCAGTGTAAAATTGGGCCATGCCAAAGGAAAACAAACAATAAGATACAAATCTCTTGGGTATTACCTGGAAAGATTGAGTTTCTTAAACACAAGATCATTTTACAGAGCTATCCTAAGGCAAAAATCTTGAACACATACTTACCATAATATTGCACACACTGCTTGGAGGTAACAAGGGCCTAAACTATCACTTTCACTGACCAAAATTTTTGGGATTTATCCTGTTTTCAAAAGTAAATACCATATGGAATTAAATAGAAAATTAGAGAAAAATTACAATGATTACTAAGAAGACATATATGGAACAGAACTAGTATATAAATACAATTTCAGTTAAAGGTTCAAATAATGTGCATATTCTTTCCCAAAGTATGAGTTTTTGAAACCTATAATATGTATTTCCTGAAGTCTTTTTCCTACACATACACACGCATACACACACCCGTGTGCGCACACCTATCATTAGATATAGACCAGTACAGAGTATATATTTAAGAATACCCATCTTAATAATACTACAATATGCACAATACACCTTCAACAAAAGGGAAGGGTGGGATGTTGGCCATCCTGGCCTAAGATGAAGAGAAATATCTATTTGCTGGATGGACTTAGTTAATATTGTGGTGATCATAACACAGGCTGAGGCAGAAGACTGATTTTAATAATTTAAATGAAATAGAATGACAGCCAAGCATATAAATTGCCAAATTCAATCCCAATTTAATAATCTATATACAGCGGTACCTCAGCTCACAAACCTAATTCTTTCCACGATTCTGGTTGCAAACTGAAAGGACAAGAACTGAATCAAGTTTCCCCATACGGTCACATTGAACCTAACTACTGAATTTGATTCAGTTCTTGTACAATTCCAGAAAAATGGAAAGAAATGAGCTTGTGAAGCAAGGTACCAGTGTATTTTTGCCAGGGTATATTCATAGTCATATGCATATAACAACAACAAAAATACAAAATTGAGTTTATGCTAGTTTAAATTTCTTTTACTTTCCTTATTTTAAAAAAGTTACCAGTCTGATTAACCTTATTAAAACATTAAATAAATTCATTTATTTCTCTTTAAATGAAAAACAAAAATGATTGGTAAGGACATAGCATCTAGTTGAGTAAATAATGAAGGTATCATATTTATTTACAGATCTTTTGTTCTAACAGCTTTACTATAAGATGACAGGTGAGGAGAACAAGTTATTGTAATATGTGTAATATGTATCATGATGATTTTCAGCTAATCTCAGATACATAATCAATAACCCTTAGCGAGGTTTTGTCCCTCACCTCTGGTTTTTAAGCAATAGCTTTTATTTAGATATATATATAGGGAAAGTATAAGGAGTATAAGTATATATTTGGTACATTTTCAGTAATAAAAACATTCATGTAACCATATCCACACAAAAAAGTGGAACCCAGCATCCCAGAAATCTCCTTGCGACTCCTCTTGGTATTTGTCTTCAGAAGGTAATAAATATTTCTTATGTTGTAGATTAGTTTTTTGTTATTTTGAACTCTTGCACAAGTGTAATGATAAAATAAGCATCCTTTTGTGGCTGGCTGCTCTTTTTTTCTTTTTTTTTTTTTTTTTTTTTTGTCTTTTTGAGACAGGGTCTCTGCAGTTCAGGCTGGTCTTGAGCTCACTTTGTAGCCCAGGCTGTCCTTGAACTCCCAACAATCCTCGATCCTTGGGCCTCAGCCTCCCGAGTGCTGGGATTACAGGCGCGCACCACCACATGCTGTGAGGTTTGCACACAACCGTTTATTCATTGTCATTCTCACCGTTGTAGAGTAGTACATGATAGGATGTATCACTATCCATTTTACTGTTCATGGTAATTTGGGTTGTGTCCTGTTTTTGATAACAGCAAGTAATGTTGTTTGTCTTTTAGCAACATTTATATTTGTTTTTACTCTTTATATACATAGATATGAAATTACTGATAAGAACCTGCCAAATAGTTTTCAAAAATTTTGAATAAACTTTCTCCTTTCACTGAAAATGTATGAGTATTCTGATCATTCCATTAACTCATTGATATTAGTGTACTTTTTTATGGAAAAAAGTAAAAATTTCATAACAAAATAATAGGAGAATAATAATAGTTAATACATCAAGTATTATTATCTTTAAAGTAGTTACTCAGAGTACAAGATAAATTTTTTTGGAAAAAATTCCCCAAATGATATTAGGGCAAACGTTTCTTTTCAATGAACTAAGAGAAACTAGTAGTATAACCATCTTATGTTTTTTTTTTGCCTTTTCCCTTTCTTCCTTTCCTTTTTCCCTCATCCTACTTCTTTTTCCTTTTGAACAATTTCTTCTGATTTCACAACATCTATTGCACATTTTCGACCTTATTTATTCTTTCCGTTTCTCATACCAGGGAGACAATACAATGTTTATACATGAGTCTGATTTATTTCACTTATGAGGATGGTCGTAAGTTGCATCCATTTACTTATAGAAGTCTCAAGTTTATCCTTCTTTATGGCAGAGTAGTACTCCACTGTATAAAAAGACCACATCTTTTTTATACATTTCTCAGTTGATGGGC